AACAGCAAGATTTAGGAAAGAGTAGGTATCTTTCTTAAATGAATCATGGAGAATTTTTGCCATGTGCCATGCCTTTGCTGCTTTATAGCTGTCTGATAACTCTTCAAGTCCAATCAAAATTAGCTGGTTGCATTGCTCATGCAGTCATTTCATTGCAAAAATCTTCTATTGACATAGTCATTTGGCCCTTCATGGGGTGCAATAAACCAATCTTACAGAATCATAGAATGTTTTGAGTTGGAAGAGACCTTAAGATCATCTAGTTCCAGCAACCCTGCTTTTGGCAGGGACACCTCCCTCTAGACCAGGTTGCTCAAAGCCCCATCCAGCCTTCTGCCAAAGGAAGAAAGAAAAAAACTTCTCATATGTAAAAGCTAATTGCATATAACAGGACAAATTTGCGTTAAGAGGGGGTAGTGGGTAGATACTGCTTGTGTTTTGCCATGATTAATTTCAGGTGTAGCAGTCAGAGAGGCTTCTAACATCACAATCTGAGAGAGACAATACTACACATTACCTCTCAGGAAGATCATCTTGATAATCCGTGAACATGTTGCCTTTCATAAATATCTTCAATTACTCCCACATGTATTTTCAAAATTATACCTACTTAGATTTTTTTTTTTTTGTATTTCTGGTGAAGTTCATCCTGTTGATGTAATAAGAGCAAATTAAAAAAAAAACAACACACACACACAAAAAAACCCCTGAAGGTTTATATCCTCTATCCTCTGTATTGATTGCAAAATATCTACTGAGAATTTTAAGTTGACTTTCTTTTCTTTTTTTTCCCATGGTTCAGATCCAGAATAAAATATTATTCTGTGTTTTACTCTTCACTATTAAAATTTTGGAAGTATTTCTCTGTGATTGATAGGCTTATTTCTAGCTAATGAATAGTATAATGTATACTTTCAATTTCTTGAGGCTGCTATTCTTTGACTTTCTGAATTTTTACGGTGAACTTCATGTCTTGAAGCAATTTTACTTACTAAATCTTCCATAAAGGCTGGTTCAATTAATGTCTCTTATAAGCCCAAAAATAATCTGATAACAGTATGTACATGCAGCAAACTATTATAGATAAGCCAACAAGGAAAAAAAGCCATTCTGTATTCCATAAAGAAATCCCAGCGTACTTTTAAAAATTATTTTTAGGTTTAAAACCTTGCTTTTTTTGCTGGGTAATGTAGTTATGTTCAGATGGTTCAATTGGCTCAATTGCTGGCAGGAGGAGCAGCAAGAGCAACCGGCAGTTTTCCTGACCCTGTTCTATCAGATTGAAGTATTATTATGCACTGTACTATATTAACCCTCATCTGGAAAAAAGCACAATCTGTCCTTGTTAAGCTTCTTAATAGCTTCTTTCTAGTATTGAATCATGGAAAGTGGAACTAACAGATTGCTGCAGTTGGACTATAGACTGGGAGACCTGGCTCAGTTTGGAACAAATTTACAACTTGGTAGCAGGGATAAGCATTGCTGATGCTGATGTAATCAATGGTTTTTATTTTATTTTTTTTGATTGCTTGTTTATTTAAAACATGCAGAAACATGTGAGAGCAGTTTTTGAATGTGGATTAATACCAGACATTCAGGTAGGCAACACGCAGGATTCAGGCTGGTATAAGAACGCAGCTGCCCATTGTTGCTATGAGTACAATAACGTGTTTCCAAAAAGTCACCAGTATCTAGCAGCTCTGATTATGCCACAAGCTTTCAAGATGAGATGGACGCCAGTACAATATAAGGACGCAGCTTTCCTAACACTGAAACAGAGATGGAATTTGGTGGTGAAGGACTATAAACTGACCGTACATCAGTTCTAGCTTTTGTTGTTTGTGGAAGATTTTTCTGATGAATTGGAATTAGACAAATAGCAGTAAATCAATCCTTCCCTTCTGTTCAAATTTTTTCTTAGGAATTTTCATTAAGTTTGTAAGTAGAAGCAGAATAGCTTCATGGCAAGACTGCCAGGTTGTAGGCAACTTCTGTCACGGGGAACTCACAGAAGATGTTGCACTGGTTCCAGATTTTCACTTAGAAGTGAAACTAAAAAATTGCTCTTCTCAACACAAATCCGTGCCTTGGCCAGACATATGCGTAAGCTCAAAAATATTTCTCATTGACTCCTAGAACTTGCTAAAGACAGGGAACTACCCTGGTGGTGGAAATTTGTTCTTCCTGTGTCAGTGTGGGCAATTTCCTATTATAGAAAAATAAAAATTATATTCCAAGAATCAAATATCTGTGAGAAACCCAGTTCCATACAGAAAGGAAATGCTCTCCACTGTGAACCTCATCTCATTCTCGAGGAAGTGATATACTATACTTTCCCTAGTTTTCCACTCCCTGTGCTATATGTGCACCTTTGTACACATACAAGTTTTCCACCAAAAGATCGCTCAGAAGAAATTAACTGTAATGTGTAATGCAAAGGAATTTAATAGAGAATTATTCCTTTATCCATCAAGAAATGTTCCTTATCCCCAAAGTATTACTCAAATTAAACATACATAACTCATCAAACCTCTAGTAAAACAGGGGAATTCACTATGAATAATTAAAGAAGTAGTGTTTAATCAGAAATGATCATGACAAAATCTCCACTGGTGTGTTTGTATGAATATCTTGAAGAAAAAAATATGGCTTTCTGTTTCCAACATGTCTCTCTTGAGTTCAGCCAGCTATAGTTTTCCCAGTTGGAAAACTCACTCACTTGCAGATTCAGAGTGCTGGGATGCATTTGTTCCAAATGTTAAGAAAGTCTCACTTTTCTAACTGGCCTTTGTAGTTCAGCATGTTTTCTCTCATTTTTGGTGAGGCACTGATTTCTGTATGGTTTCACAAAACCTCCCTGTCCTGATAAATGATGAGATGATAGTATTTGTGTAATGGAAAAGGCATGAAAAGAATTAATGTGTTTTATGAAGTGTTGAGGTTTTTCAGCCTGGAGAAGAGAAGGCTTAGGGGAGATGTGAAAGTGACCTTTCAGTATCTAATTCCTTCCTGCTCAATTGATTCTGTGCTCATCACAAGACGTACTACTTTTTCAGTACTGTAATTAAGCCTGTTCTTACCTTTATAGCAAGCTTTGGGGTAACAGTTTTGGATGTTTATAACATTTTTAAAGAGTTCAGTGTTTGGAACACTGAAGAGATCAAGCTCTGTAAGTCAGGAATTTTTCACTAACAATTTCTTGATAGAAAATGAAGTTTTCAGAATTTCTATTTCTTTGAGATATATTATGAATTCAGTTTTTTTCCTCAAACATCCATACTCTGCAGCAAAACTTGGTACAACTTTTCTCTGTTAGGGAAAGTGAAACAAAACATTTAATTTTGATCCAGACTGACTAAATAAGAATAACTTTAAGCAAAGTAATAACTCTAAATAAACTCTATTTCTTGTCAAACTGTCAAGTTGTACTTTAGATGGCCTCAGAGTCTGTGGAAGTTCTTTGTGACTGACCCCTATTTTTCCTCTAGACTGTCTTTTGAGGCTGTAATAAGTCTTTCATGAGACTCCACGTTTTTGAACTCCAGCTGAATTCCCTCAGCATCTCATGGGAATCACTTGATGCTGATACACCACAGGAAATTTTTGCCCTATGAGCCTGGCACATGAGAAAGCACTGAGTGTCTGATTTACAACTCCCAAGAAGCACTGCTACAAGAGTTTAAAAATCCACACACAGTTTGCAAAGTAATGGATTTTCCATCAGACCTTGTCACAGCTGGGAGGAAAATGAAAATTGGCGCTTATCACACAGGGCGAGCTGCATTTGAGTTGCCAGCCTCAAGATCTCAGTGATTCGTTTCTGATGTGACATGAAGTTTTTGCAATATTTCCTTTCTTCCACTCTGTCTCTTTTGGTTATTCAGATGATCTTTGAAGTTGAAATAGAGTCTTTTGTGTTCATATACTGGAACTTAATACAGGCTCTAAAATCTAAAAGCAATAGAATAGCTGAATCATAGAATCACCAAGATCAGAAAAGGCCTCTAAGATCATCCAGTCCAACCATCTACCAATAGAAGCAATTTCCTGTATGGGCAGGCTGAGTGATCCAGTGTCCAAAGTCACAAAAACAGATGAAGACAGTGAGAGTTCAAATCCTGTTTTATGACTCTCACTACTTTGCATATATTTTCACTATTGTCTTACATGCTGTTATCTATGCTGAAAAAATATTTTTCCTCACAGAGTCTTCTATCTGCACACAAACAGAAGCAAAAGATCAGCAGTTCATTGCAAAGGCATTGCTCTAACAAGCTCATTCAGTCTTATTAACATATTGACTGTGTTTTTGTGGAATAGTACTCTGGAGTTAAGACAATACTTTGGAGAAGACAGAGTTTCTGTCTCTAATTCCTTATGATTTAAATTAGACAAGAAGCAGATTTAGAAAGCCAGATGGAGGAGCACACGGAACCAGGAAGACAGTCCTGGTCAGTGTGATAGTAAGTGGGATCAGTACATCTACTGTTTAAGCACTGTGTTTTTCAACAGGCCTGGTAAAGAATGTTGTTGTGTTCAGATTTCATTATGAACAAACTTGTGTTGATATTAATTATTTTTTTGTTTCATTTACATTCAAAAAAATTATACCTAAGAATATATCCCAAACATTTATTTTTAGATATTTTGAAGTAAGCTCCAGAGCAACTGACCACATTCAGTCAACTTAAGAGAATCAGAAATCAATGCTTAATTTATATATACTTTGCTGTAGACATTTTGAACAGATACATTTATTGAGATAATTAACAGCTTTTGTTTTCAACAGAGAAGATTGCTAAATAAAAGTCGGGTTTCTTAGGAAATTTTGTTGATCTTGGCTTGAAAAATGGATGAATAAATTGAAGAGTTGATGTTATTTTCGTAAGACGGATACAGAGATCCCTGTGCAGATATATTATGTACTCTTTAAAATATTTGCTGTGATAAAAGCTACTGCAAATTTCAAAGTATTCTCAAACATTTCTGTTTGCATGCAGGAAACTATGGTGAAAGTGGAATGGAAGCATTCAAAGATATGGCGGCCAAGGAAGGGATCTGCATTGCACATTCCTACAAGATCTATAGCAATGCTGGCGAGCAGAGCTTTGACAAGTTACTGCGGAAGCTTCGGAGCCACCTGCCCAAGGCAAGAGTGGTTGCCTGTTTCTGTGAAGGCATGACTGTGAGAGGGCTCTTAATGGCTATGAGGCGCCTGGGACTTGCTGGAGAATTTTTGCTGCTGGGAAGGTGAGTAATGCTGCACAATTAAAGCCCATGTCATCAGAGAAGGGCAAAATGAAAGACAGTTCAGTGATGCATATGTAAAGCCCACACTCATTGATCTCTTCTAGACACGCACAATCTAAAAGGCAGAAAGTAATGTCAGCTGTGTTGCAGTGGCACATATTGTACAAAGAAACACTTTATTGCCATGACGTCCATGCAAACATAAATCTGGCCAGTTCTAATAAGATCATTATGAGAGGGAAAGCACACACACAGTCATTTGGTTTGTATCATTCCCTTTATTTATAGCAGTTTAAAATGCGTAACGTAAGTATGCATCCTCATTCAAGTAGTGTTAAGAACTGCTGATGTGGCTTCTGGATAGATGTGAATTAGGAAGCTCCAAAAAGAAGAGGTTAATATCTATATCCTTTTCTTCCTTTTTTTCAGCCAATGTACTGATCTGCCCTACTGAACTAAAGGCAACAAATAGGTGAAACTTCTTACATGGTTTCAGTGGTACCAGAGGTTCCTTCTCTGATGTCTATGGGGAGAAAGAAAAATGCTCAGATATGTTCACCCAGTAGGTGAACCACAGAATCACAGAATGGCCTGGGTTGGAAGGGACCTCAAGGATCATGAATCTCCAACCCCCCTGCCACATGCAGGGCCACCAACCTCCACATTTAATACTAGACCAGGCTGTCCAGGGTCCCATCCAGTCTGGCCTTTAACACCTCCAGGGATGAACGGGGCATCCACAACTTCTCTGGGCAGCCTGTTCCAGTGCCTCACCACTCTCTCTGTAAAGAATTTCCCCCGACATCCAACCTAAATCTCCCTTCCCTCAGCTTCAAGCCATTTCCCCTTGTCCTCCTCTTATCTACCCTTTCAAAGAGTTGATTCCCCTCCCCTCTGTAGGCTCCCTTTAGGTATTGAAATGCTGCAATGAGGTCACCCCACAGCCTTCTTTTCTCCAGGCTGAACAAGCCCAGCTCCCTCAGCCTGTCTTCGTAGGGGTGGTGCTCCAGTCCCCTGATCATCTCTCCTTTGGACCTTCTCCAACAGCTCTCTGTCTTTCTTGTACTGGGGACTCCAGGCCTGGACACAGTACTCCAGATGGGGCCTCACAAGAGCAAAGTGAGGGGGACAATCACCTCCCTGTCCCTGCTGGCCACCCCTCTTCTGATGGAGCCCAGGATACCATTTGTCTTCCGAGCTGCAAGGGCAGACTGCTGGCTCATGTTAAATTTTTCATCTATCAAGACCCCCAGGTCCTTCACAGCAGGGCTGCTCTCAAGGACCGCTCCTTCCAGTCTGTATGGATGCCTGAGATTCCTCCAGCCCAAGTGCAAAACTCTGCACTTTGCCATGTTGAACCTCATCAGGTTCACCCAGGCTCACCTAGCCACCCAGTCTGTCGAGGTCCCTCTGTATGGCATCCCTTCCTTCCACCGTGTCAAACAGTAGGAAAAGTCCATGTAATTGTCAAAGAAGTAAATATCTTAATGTCTACCTACTGGGACTTTACCACAAAATTACCACATATTCTAAATAAACAATTGGACCCCAAAAGAGATTAGAAAAATGGTATTTTGACCACAAAATAAAGCATACCAGGAGCTAGCTAAAGTCGCCTGCTGCTCTTCAGGTGCATTATTACATGGATGGTCTGATGCTGTTTCAAGTATGAACAGAACAGGAACAGGAATAAAACAGTATCTGTGAAGCAAGATATCCTGATGAGATCCTCAGGGCAGCATGTAAGGAATGCAGCTTTTCTCAACAGGCTTGAAAGCTCTATTGCTAAGACTACTACCTCTATATTTTCTCTTTGGCACAAGCTTTGGATTTTTTTTTTTAATTTTATTTTTTTTGCCAAATTGAGATGCATTTCTTACTTATTTCTCTGTCTTATGGCACTATGGCTGCTTTCCTTTGCAAATGCACTTTCTCTGAAGTCTCTTCCATGAATGTCTTGTTCTCTTTTCTTCCCTTTTTTGGCCTGACCAAAAAGAAGCAAGTGTTCTCAGGGTGAGATTCATGTAAGTATATTTTTATGTCTACAGTTTAGACATATTCATGTGCACCAACCACATCTATAGTTAATGAAGAAAAATAGGGCCCTCTTAATTCCATTATAAGTAATGTGGACATTTAATCTGTCAACTTGTTATAGATAGGATGTTATATAAGGGCAGGTAGCAACAGGACAAGGGGAAATGGAAGAGGATAAACCAGGAGAGGATAGATTTAGACTAGACCAGTGTCGTGGGTGAGTGCTGTAGTTAACATGCCTTTTTCTGTGTTTGTACAAATCCAAACTTGAGAAATTGAGAAGATATTGTAAGATAAATGAGGAAATGAAATTTTGCAGACCTTAATATGCTCTAATTTCATTTTTGGCTATTTCCACTGCTTCAGGGAAAAATAAATCTGCCAGAACTCTTCCATCTAGAATATCTTGCACTGTGTCTTTGGCAAGAATGTGGAAGCTAAACATAGTATAAGTGTTCAGATTTCTTCCGTGGGGATAAAATAAGCAGTTAAGAAAATATTTTCAGTGTACAATCATGCAACCCCTTTGAGGGATTTTTGATAAGCCTGCTATAGCCTCACCTGAATGCTGATGCCTGTGACACAGTTGCCTGCTGCCCACTCATTTACCTGATTTCTCTTCTTCAGGCATCGGATTGTAGCCCAAGAAAGAATCATATTATAGCTATTAATTAAATGCCCTGTAATTAGCAACTTTAATTCAGATCCTTCCTTGTCACTCAAATTAAAACAAAGATTTGTTTTCTACAGAAGCAATAAAAGACTGAGGAAATGAAAAGCTGTTTTACCTTCTACATCCAAAGTATGTTTAGCCAGAGCTATTGAAGACTAGAGAATGACTTAGTTTGGAAAAGAAACTCTGTGGATTCCCTGTACTTGGCCTCCTTGTGGCTCAGTGGCCCTTAAATTGAGCAATAGCAGTCTCCAGCAGGAGATGGAAGCAGTAGAGTTGCTGGTCAAAGATGTTTGGAGAATCCTTTTCTTTTTCTAATATGAACAACAGAAGGCTAAAGAACACCATAAGCTAGGGCTTGAGGATTATATATAGAGAGATGATGCAAATATTTGCACTGAAAACAAGCTAGTCTACCTTATTTTTCTTATTTTCTTCTCACTGTTTTAAATTCATTTTTGTTGACTAGTTCCAATAAATACTGCATCTTATGATCCAATTTCACAGTTATTAATACAGACGTAAGCAAGCTCTAATTTGGATGGAGGGAAGCTCAGAGAATGTTTGAAACAAGGTCTTCATTTTGCCCTTGCAGGAATGCTCTATATTCCCCAGGATGATTTGTTTGCATATATGTTCAAATACGTACGTGTTGTTGTCAGGCAATAATCAGAGAATTTCCTTGTTAATCCATGGGCAAGTGAGCACATCTTCTACTTATGTCAGTAAGAGATGAATACGTCTCTGAGAGGAAATACAGGTCCTAGACATCTGAAAATCCAACATCAGAAAATAAACATAGCTGTATGAGATCAGATCAAATGTCCACGAAACCAGCGTATGGCTTCTGGAAATGGCTAATAGCAAATGACTGGCAAAAAGTGACAACAAGCCAGGATGGAGTGAAGTTCATCCAGTGGATTCGTAAATCTTTGACAAACCTGTAGGTCAAAAATCTAAGTCAAAGGTAATATCTCAGAAAAGAAAGCCCTTGTGCATGCAATGCAGTGCTGCTAGTAAAACAGAAGTTCAGATAAAAATTTTAGTCATAGAATCATAGAATCATAGGATCAGAATCATAGAATGGCCTGGGTTGAAAAGGATCTCAAAGGTCATTTGATTTCATATCTCATTGCATTTCTATGTCTTCGGACTTCCTCTGTGACTTTTGTGGCTGCTTGAGATAGTGAGCATCTCAAGATAGAGCCTCTATTTTACTACACACCTATGTTGCCTTTCACACTCCAATGACCCAATTTCTTTTAATCATTTGTTATGTGCCATAAAGAGACAGTACTTCAGTGTGGCTCAGTAGGCATTCTTGCTCAGTAGGAAACAAAAATTATTGGTTGGCACTGGAAAGAAATCCATCCTTCTTCTCATTAAATAACTGATCACACACTGCATTGCATTCATCTGTCCAATTAAATTATTTACTTCTGGAAGAATGTGATCTAAGACTGACATTGACAATCTAGAAAAGGCAGTTTTTACAGCCAAAACTGTTGTACAGAGTTGTGCCACAGAAAATGGCACTGGCTGGAATATCAGAATGTCATTCTGAAAGCAGGATCATTCTACTTAATTCATGCTTGTTCCATTTTTTGGATGTATCTAATTAAAGTCTTTCAAAGAGAAAAATCCCATAGACTCCTCAGGCAACTGTGCTTAATTACTCCTTTAATTTTTACTAATCTCTGACTTATTATTTTCATGGAATCATGGAAGCATAGAATCATTAAGGTTGGAAAGACCACAAAGATCATCTAGTCTGACAATCAATCCATGCTTGTGACCACTCTATATCATGTCATTCCAAGGCTGATAACTCTATCACTTCCCTATGCAGTCTGTTCTAATACCTCACCACTCTTTCTGAAAAGAAGTAAAGAAATTTTTAAACTTTTTAAAAATTATTTTAATCCAATTACTTCTTATCCTATACATGTGAACAAAGGAAGCAGTTATTTTCCTGACTTTCTAAGACTACTATTTATATGTACTAAGACTTATGCTTATTCTTAATCTGCTTTGAAAAGATTCCTTACAAAAGGAAAACACATTTCACAATATGGGATGAGACTTTTACTCTACCCGTAGAATTCAGACATGGGGGAAGAACAGAGATAAAGAGGAGACAAAGAACTCTGAAGCACTTTAAAAGGTTTTATTCTCATGGGCAAAAGGGTAAATTAATGAGGTGACTTCCTGAGTCTAAAAAGAGATGGTGAGGTGATCTCAAAGACAGTTTCACATTGACAATAGACCTTTATATGCCGTCTTGTGTGAA